CGGCGCCCCGCAGCGGCCCCCGCGGGAGAGCCTCCCTGTTGTCGCTGCATGGACAGCAGTTCGAACAAATTCCCATCTAAAACACCTAATGAGTCCTTCCCCTGCCCCTGGGATGCGAAGCCTGGCGCGACCCCTGGTCCACACAGCTGCCAACCTCCTCTCAGCTCTGCTCGTCACCCACCTGGCTTCAGGTAAGGCCTGGAAGCTGAGGCCCTGAGCCTGCTCACTCTGGTGGCCTGCTGCAGCCACGCGGGCCACCATGTAAGTACTGGTGTCCCCGGCTTTGTAGTAAAAAAGCCTTTCTCTAACCCATCTCTAACCCAAACTGTCGGGGGGAAAGTATTTCGCGTCAGTGAACAGTGGGGGGGCACGACCCCTCCAGGAAAACCGTGCAGACCTCAGAGCCGCTGACACACTCCAGGTGTTTACGCCGCCCAGAGTCGTGACAGAAGGTGGTCTGTAGAGGAAAGCAGGTATTTCAGGCTTTCTCCTCCCTCCCTCCCCCGCTGTTGACGGAGAGAGCCGTGCCAGTCACCCCTGATAAGAGCGGCCACGGCCTGACTGCCTGGCGCTGGGCTCACCGCCCCGGGGATGGGGGGGGGCAGAGCGCTGCCAAGTCAGAGCCCACGTCTGTGGACCCACGAGCGGCCGAGGTCCCCACGAGACCCGCCCTGCCAGGATGCTCCTGCGGCCACGTGCGGGAGGTCTGGGCACTTGTCCTCCGTGCACCTCGGACAAGCGAGGCCGACCAGTGCTGTGGCCCACGCGATGAGTTCACGTGCACGGCCACCCGGAAACAGGATGGCGGGGAGTCCCTTAGCTCCCGTGCCAAAGGCGCGGCCGCCTTTAGCAAACTGCCATCCAGGGAAACGGTGTCGCCTGCAAGAAGACAGCTGGTCTGTGATAACAGCCGAGATTTGCATGAGGTTTTACAGGGTACAAAGTTCCTGTGACTTTCACCAAAGACTGTGAAGGGTCACTGTCCTTTCTGAGGTCACTCTGAGTGGACCACCAGATCACAGGCTTCTGCCCCGCCGTCTCCAGCCCCAGGTGGCGGTGTCCCTGGGCACGGCACTGGGGTGTGGGGTGTGGACTCTGGGCACAGGACTGGGCCTGATGGGGGGGGGACGTGGGCGCAAAAGCCATGCTGGGGGTACCGTGAGGGGTTCGCTTCGGTTTCTGTGGTGGAGAAGGGGGAGGGTGGGCAGCGTGTGAGGAGGGTGGTGAGCTCTGAGAGAGGCCGTGCCACAGCGTGGGGGCCGCCTCCAGGCCAAGGCCACCCCGGCAGGGCTGAGTTCGGCCAAGCATGTGACCTCTACAGGGACAGCGATGCTGCTGGGTTCTCCGCTGGGGCTGTGCCAGGTGGCGTGGGGGACCACACGCAGGGAGGGCTGCATGAGCAGAGCCGGGGTGACACTGAGTGCAGTAGCGGGCGCTGGCATTTGCCTCGTGCCGGAACAGTGACATCACCTCGGCTCATGCGTTCCTCACAGAGCGTTCATTACCCGGGTTCGGCTGCCGAGGGCACAGAGGGTCAGGTCAGAGGGGTTGAAACTGTGTCCAAGGCCAC